CAATAAGCTGAAGAAGCTTGTCCTCCGACAAACTCTACGTATATTACCGATCCTCGAATCGTTCAACTGAAGAAAAAATCGGTGCATTTCCTCTCGTCTTCAACTATACCTATATTTATTGCCACCCGCGAATTCGGGAATGTGTGAAACTACCAAAGACAATCGCAATATCTCGTTAAATGTGGTGCAGTGGACTCTCGTTATATTGCAAAATCTCGAAAATTCAGATGGACTTTCGAGTATCATTGTGGAGCTGTAGATGGACATTTTAAGATTGGTAGATCGCCAGATATATAATCATTTGTTATATTGGTAGATCGTTGGATATATAATCATTTGTTATATTGCCACTCGTTATATATGGCCATGAATTATATAGTCTTTATACGGTGCTGGTAATGATCGTTATATGTTATAGGAGTGTTATATAACGCTTTGTATATCCTCGTATTATATCGCCACGCATTTTATTGCGGCGCGTTGAGTCTCTACGCAGTGCATATCCACGCAATGCATATTCAAACATTGAATATTCACGCGTTGCATATTTATATATTCCATATCGATGCATTGCATTTCCTCGCGTTATATCGCCACGCATTGTATTGCAACGCATTGAGTCTCTACGCATTACGTATCCACACACTGTATATCCACGCATTGAATGTCTACGCGTTGTATACTCATATATTTCGTACTTATGCATTGCGTATCTATGCATTGCATTTCCTCGCGTTATATCGCCACGCATTGTATTGTGACGCGTTGAATCTCTACGCAATGAGTGTCCACGCACTGCATATCCACGCATTGAATATCTACGCGTTGTATATTCACATATTTCGTACTTATGCATTGCGTATCGTCTTTATACGGTGCTGGTAATGATCGTTATATGTTATAGGAGTGTTATATAACGCTTTGTATATCCTCGTATTATATCGCCACGCATTTTATTGCGGCGCGTTGAGTCTCTACGCAGTGCATATCCACGCAATGCATATTCAAACATTGAATATTCACGCGTTGCATATTTATATATTCCATATCCATGCATTGCATTTCCATGCGTTATATCGCCACGCATTGTATTGCAACGCATTGGGTCTCTACGCATTACGTATCCACACACTGTATATCCACGCATTGAATATCTACGCGTTGTATACTCATATATTTCGTACTTATACATTGCGTATCTATGCATTGCATTTCCACGCGTTATATCGCCACGCGTTGAATCTTTACGCAGTGAGTGTCCACGCACTGCATATCCACGCATTGAATATCTACGTATATATCCACATATTTCGTATTTATGCATTGCATGTCAAGGCGTTGCACTTCGACGTGTTATATCGCCACGCATTGCATTGCAACACGTTATATTTTTACACGGTGCATATCCACGCATTACATATCCATATGTTGCATATCTAGGCGTCACATATTTATGGATTGCATATCCACGCGTTGTATATCTTTGCGTTACATATCCATCTACACGCGTTACCTATCCACCTGCTACATATCCATGCGTTACCTATCCACCTGCTACATATACATGCGTTACCTATCCACCTGCTACATATCCACGCGTTACCTATCCACCTGCTACATATCCACGTGTTACATATCCATCTGCTACATATCCATGCGTTGCATATTTGCGTGTTGACTATTTACACGTTGCATACCTACACATGGCATATTCAAGCGTTACATATCCACGCATTTTATATCCTAACTTTACATGCTCACATCTTGCATATCAGCGTGTTGAATTACTGATATGCTTTACATATCTACGCATTGAATCGTTACCTGCGCATTGCATCGGTATATCAATGAAGTATGAGTTCTCGAGTTGCATATCAATTTGTCATATATTTATGCGTTTCATATCAAGGCTTCATATGTTCACGGATTGCATGTCAATGTGTCATATGTCCACACACTGCATATCCTCCCTTTGCATTATTGTATCATGTTGCATATCTACACGTTGCGTATTGTCACACTGCATATCTTATCATACTTTTGCATTGCGTCTTCAAGCTTTACATTGTTATTTATAACAATACCAGATATCTTTTTAGAGCGTTGTATTCTCACATATATTATACCATTCATATCTCCTTTATTGCGCATATCACGTCTCTCGTAGAAACAGAATCACATGAATATCATGTCACTCAAAATTACATGATTCATCGATACATGATACTCATAAGTTTTATCACCAAACATCGGAATATCTCGTTTCACATATGTTGCTATGAGTAACATATCATATGTGACATGATATTAACGTGTTCCTGCAATATATTTAGATTTTCGGTAGTATTCGTTTAATGTCTCTCCATTGAGAGAGAATCTCTGCATTATTGCAGTAAATGAGGAATTTACTATTTCTAGTAACTCGAATGACAATCACCGCGTCACTCTTATTTCGCCAATTTCAAAAATCCGGCAATATAACGAGAGTCAACTGTACAAGCAAAATATCGATCACTTTATTAATATCACCGTTGTCGCAACCAATTCCTGTTTCAATTTCGATTCGTGCAAGCTGATCAAGCGAACCTAGCTTAAACTTAACGCACATACGTTAATACATGATTCAACGTTGTTTATTTAATTTCATTTTTTTTTGTTCTCTCTCCGTTTTCTTATTTTTCTTCTTTCTACGATTAACTGATAGTGTTCCTCTAAACGGTGAGATCTTCACGAAAGCGATTTCTTCTACGTTAACGTTCTACTTCGAAAACTCGCGTTATATCGCGTCAACCTAATCGATACCATTACGATCGATAAAAGGAAACTCGAAGGAAAGTCAGAAACTGCTACGGCTTAACGATACGTGGTTAATATAACTCGTTTGGTAAAATTGCATTCGCTCGGTGAAAGCTCGAAACGGTGACTGGAAACGGCGCTTTTTTTTCGTTACAAAGTAGCTTTTTGTGTTTCTACGTTAACGAGAGGCTGCATTGGTATAAAGTTATCGGAGTGTCATGGCGTGTCGTCTGATTATTGTAGTTCTTCTCGCACGGTACTTAATGGCTCTTTTCAGACACACAAAATTAATTTCATATCGTTTATAAAATTATTACTGATTTACAATTTATTTTGATTTGGGGGAAAATATTTTTCAATCAGTTTTAATTCAATTAATTGTTACTTGAGCTTTTGAATAGTTACAATTAACTTATTTTTAACAATTTCATTTAATATAATTCCAAGTTTTAATTTGTTCTCAATTTAATTTCATTTAAGTACAATTTCATTTAATTCACATCAAAATTAGTATCGAAATCAAAATTGGTATTAAACCAAATCTAATTTAATTTAAAACAGAATTAAAATTGTGTTAGATTCAATTACAATCAGATTTGATATCAAAATAAAAATTAATGTTAAATTCAATCTAAATTAATTTGAATCAGAGTCAAAATTAAAATTGCATTCACTTCAATTAAAATTGAAATTGAAATTAATTGAATTTACGTAAAATTAAAACACTGAACTTTAAATTTAATTTAATTCAATAAAATTCAGTCACAATTACAATTAAATTTAATGCAAACTTAAATTAAAATTTCATAAAAAATTTTCATTCAGTTAAATTTAATTATAATTTAATCAGGATGAACTGTAAATTTTAATTTTTAATTGGTATTGAAATTAAATGAAATTCATCTGCAATTAAAATTTACCTAAATATTAAATTTTACAGATTTTAATTTCATCTGAAATTTTAATTCAATTCTAATTTAATTAAGATGAACTGTAAATTTTAATTTTTAATTTGCATTGAAATTAAATGAAATTCATCTTCAAATTTTTAATTTTTAAATTTTAAAGTACCTCTTGAATATAATACAATTTTTTAAATATACACAAGTGTGTCATTAAAAAATTTGACTAATATTAATGCAATCATAAAATTAATTAACAGCTATTATTATTAACAGCTGAATTTTTTAACGAGCAAATAAAATTACAAAGTGCATGACCGAAAAGAGCCATTAAATTTCCTGCACCTACATCGTCAACGACATTAAATTTTCATAATCAGCGTTGCTCATAATTCGGCCAAGAAAAGTTTAAAACTTGATTCTCATCCCACGAACAATCGTTCTCAAGGCAATTCTGTTACAAATCTAATGTTTCCTGCATTCTATCGCGTCGAAACGGTGCGAAGTGATTTGTCGAAGATTTGTCAACGAAATGAGAATCGTGTCATAAAACAACAAAAGCCTTAACAAAGAATTACGATGTGAACTGTATTCATACAGTCGTGACAATAGTGGGACGCAAATCGTGGAAAAAAGTGAAAAACTGCAAAAAGTTTCGGTCATAGTGATTGTAAAGAATAAGAAGCTTATTATACACTGTATCTCTCTATTAACGTTCCCGAAGTTCCGTTCTTCGAAAAAATTCGAAGCTTTCATATATATATATTTTTTGTTATTGTAAATTTATAGAGAAATATTTGTTACCTTAGCCCGTGTAAATTTCCATGTAAATCGATAATAAATCATGTTAATAATACGTCGATAATGATATAATACAATATTCCTCTAAAATTATCCTTTATTTACACGCTTCGCCTCGAAAAGTCTGATCGAATCGCATAGAAAAATATTCGATGAATCGTCAAAGATGTAGAGACTCTTGCGGCCATCGTTCACGTTGGATAGCTCCGGATATTTCGCGCGAAAATTCTCACCGTTTCGCTATCTTTCCTGATCAGAATTTTCGCGCGAGATTTTTAGTTCAGCTTCGCACGATCAAGAAGCCCTCGAAATTTTTCCCCGAAACCACGATGCATTGGCCCCTTCGCGTTCAACGTTTTTTTTTTATTTTTCACTAGAAAGAAAAGACGGGATTTAATCGCTTGATGCAATCAACGTATCGGCGATAAACAGTTTCAATTCAAATCCGTCGAAATGTATTCACGGTGATCGGTCAAGCGTGCAACGTTACAAGCGTCCAGCATGGGAAAACAATGCAATCAATCGCTGCTCGATTTCTTTGTGCTGTTGCGTTTCGTAAGTGGACGTTCGTGTGCGATGTAGACTTCTTTTGTTTGTAGGACGAAGAGGAGATTGAAAGAACGAGAAAGAACGAGAAAGAACGAGAAAGAACGAGAAAGAACGAGAAAGAACGAGAAAGAACAAGGAGGAACGAGAAAGAACGAGAAAGAACGAGAAAGAACAAGGAGGAACGAGAAAGAACGAGAAAGAACGAGAAAGAACAAGGAGGAACGAGAAAGAACGAGAAAGAACGAGAAAGAACAAGGAGGAACGAGAAAGAACGAGAAAGAACGAGAAAGAACAAGGAGGAACGAGAAAGAACGAGAAAGAACGAGAAAGAACAAGGAGGAACGAGAAAGAACGAGAAAGAACGAGAAAGAACAAGGAGGAACGAGAAAGAACGAGAAAGAACGAGAAAGAACAAGGAGGAACGAGAAAGAACGAGAAAGAACGAGAAAGAACAAGGAGGAACGAGAAAGAACGAGAAAGAACGAGTGAGAACGAAAAAGAACAAGTGAGAACGAAAAAGAACGAGAAAGGACGAGAAAGAACGAGCGAGAACGAAGAAGAACGAAGAAGAACGAAGAAGAACGAAGAAGAACGAAGAAGAACGAAGAAGAACGAAGAAGAACGAAGAAGAACGAAGAAGAACGAAGAAGAACGAAGAAGAACGAAGAAGAACGAAGAAGAACGAAGAAGAAGGAGGAACGAGAAAGAACGAGAAAGAACGAGTGAGAACGAAAAAGAACAAGTGAGAACGAAAAAGAACGAGAAAGGACGAGAAAGAACGAGCGAGAACGAAGAAGAACGAAGAAGAACGAAGAAGAACGAAGAAGAACAAAGATGGCGGCCATCGATGCTCTTCACCTTACAGATTCTCATCGCTTCAATGTTTTAACTAATTTGTTTGTTTAAAATCGAAGATTAATATTGAATTTAATTAAGTTGAATTTAATTTGAGATATGAACAAAACCATCTAAACTAATTTAAACCAATTTGACTCTCTGATTAGTCAAATATAATTGTTCTTGGTTAAAGTTAGCTCATATTGTATTTAACTTAATGTTCACACAACAATTAATAGGTTTAAATGATTTAATGTAATTTAAACTAACTTGACTCTTAATTTGAACAATTAAACTTAATTGTTTTTAGTTAAAGTTAGGACACATTGAATTTAATTTGATGTATAAGCAAAAATTAATAGATTTAAATGACATAACCTAATTTAAATTAATGTGACTCCTACTTTCTATCAGATTTAACAAACTTTTATAGAAATTAGATCATATTTTGTTTAATTTAATGTTCAAATAAGAATTGATAGATTTGAATGACCTAACCTAACTTAAATTAATGTGACTCCTACTTTTTATCAGATTTAACAAACTTTTATAGAAATTAGATCATATTTTGTTTAATTTAATGTTCAAATAAGAATTGATAGATTTGAATGACCTAACCTAACTTAAATTAATTTGACTCCTACTTTCAATCAGATTTAACAAACTTTCATAGAAATTAGATCATATTTTGTTTAATTTAATGTTCAAATAAGAATTGATAGATTTGAATGACCTAACCTAACTTAAATTAATGTGACTCCTACTTTTTATCAGATTTAACAAACTTTTATAGAAATTAGATCATATTTTGTTTAATTTAATGTTCAAATAAAAATTAATATATTTCAGTGACCTAACCTAACTTAAATTAATTTGACTCCTACTTTCAATCAGATTTAACAAACTTTCATAGAAATTAGATCATATTGTATTTAATTTAATGTTCAAATAAAAATTAATATATTTGAATGACCTAACTTAACTTACACCAATTTGACTCCCAATATTATTCAACTATTGTTACTATATTTATTTCTCATTTTGCATCAAATAATAATAAATTATGAATAATAATCATTAAGAATAATAATTAATTTTCAACAGAACGGAGAATAACATCCGCATTCAAAAGAAGTCCACATCGCACAGAAATGTCTTAGCTCAAACATTAAGAGAACATTAAATTAAAAAATTCGCGACAAAATGGAAGTGTCAAAATATTGCTGCCTATGGCTAACAAGTGCCGGAGACTTTGTGCTTTCTTAAAATTTGTGTGCGATCGATATCAGTTCAACAATCGATACACATCTAACTTCGCTTCGTATCCTTACAATCTACTTACGCAACGTGAGTATTTTTAATATAGTTCTTCTTCTGAACGGAAATTTATTATAAATTACGTTTCTGTTATTTGCAGGTTATCGAAGGATCAAAGTATATGCGTAAACAAGACTTTCAGTTATCTCGTTGTTAATTGGAACAGTAATAAAGGATCGTTACATTTGACGTAACTAGGTAGCAATTTAAATGAACTTGAATTATTTGAACAGAGGAAAATATGGACTGTAGTATGAGAGATGTGAGAGGTAATTTGTGTTAAAAATAATTTATGTTAGACATTAAACAATTTTTTCATTTTGATATTTTACGACTTTTGATATCTTCATGTTACTTATTTTCCTTACCAGTTTTCCAAATTTCTGCATGCACCAATTTTCAAATTCCAAAATTTCTTATTCCGCAATTTCTCAAATTCCAAAATTTCTTAGTCCCCAATTTTTCAAATTCCAAAATTTATTATTCTCCAAATTTCCAAATTCCAAAATTTCTTATTCCCCAATTTCTCAAATTCCAAAATTTCTTATTTCCCAAATTTTCAAATTCCAAAATTTCTTATTCCCCAATTTCTCAAATTCCGAAATTTCTTATTTCCCAAATTTTCAAATTCCAAAATTTCTTATTTCCCAAATTTTCAAATTCCAAAATTTCTTATTCCTCAATTTTTCAAATTCCAAAATTTTTTATTCTCAAAATTTTCAAATTCCAAAATTTCTTATTCTCCAAATTTTCGAATTCCAAAATTTCTTATTCTCCAAATTTTCAAATTTCAAGATTTCTTATTCCTCAAAATATCAAATTCCAAAATTTCTTATTCCCCAAATTTTCAAATCCCAAATTTCCTATTTTCCTAATTTTCAGCTCCCCAAATTTCTAAACCCCCGAATTTCCAATTTCCTAAATCCCTAAATCCCAGATTCAATATTTCCTAAATTTTCAAATTTCCAAATTCCCTATTTTCCAAAATTTGAATTCCCCAGATTTCTAAATTCCCCAATTTACAAATACAGAAATTTCTAATTCCCCAAATGTTCAAATCCCCAAATTTTCCTATTCTCTTACTTCTTAATTCCCTAAATTCCCTATCCTCCTCCTCCTAAATTCCCCAAACCCCATTTCTCCCAATTTCTAAATTTCCTAATCTCTCTTTTCTTCTTAATCTCTCAACCACCACAATCGCCTAAAATCTCTCATCCCACAAATTCCCCACATCCCAACAAAAGTCCCTAGTTACGTCAATGATCATAACTCTCTCTCCTTGTGCAACAATTTATTAAAATTTACTAAAAAAATAAACGTACAAAATGCGCAAGCTAAAAAACGAATCGTCGACCGACTGCTTACTTCGAAAACTTTCATTCAACAGTATTTTTTTTTTTTATTTTTAATCTTATTTTTAAGTGTGTATTCGTCCGCCGTGAACGATAGCATAGGAACGGAGTTGGAGATTATTCGATGCAGTCTATTCAATCTCGTTCGCAAATATATCGTTGTTTTGAGATATTATACCTTGACATATTATGTTTTCAAAATTAATTAGCCAGACTTATAGTCAACGGACGAGTTGGTGATACAAAGTAAAAGAAGCACACCCTGAACATTTGTAGTTACATTTCGGCAAATGAGAATAACAACTGCTGAACGCAAGTAGCACTTGAGAGACGTTTGCCTGTTTTTCGCCTAATTGGCGACCGCGAGAGCCAATATACCGCCGAAAATACGTGTGAGGCCATTTTTCTATTCTGACCAATTGGAGTGGCGCTTCTAAACACCACGCGCCAACTCGTGGGTTGACATCGGTATGTGGGAATGTGGAATTTGGGGTTCGACAGTTTGAGGTTTAGAAACGTTGAAGTTGGAGTTTGGATGTTGCGTATTCAGAAACGTAGAAATTTGAGCGGATGAAAATTTGAAGTTGGATATTTAGAAAAGTGGAACGGGTTTATGGAAATTTGGAAATTTGGATATTTAAAAGGGTAGAAATTTGGGGATGTGGATATTTGAAAATTTGGATAGAAGGGTAGTTTCTTGACGAATTTAAATATTTAAGATTCTAAAATTGGTATGCTGCAACTGTAATTACTCTGATAATTACACTGTAAGATAATGAAAGTGATACGAGTGTGTCCTTGTCAGTGTTTACGGATGCTTAGAAAAAGCTTCATTGACACTATTTAATAAATGTTATGCACAGCTGTGTCATCGAAGAAGTATCTCAATGACGTGAGACTTTTCCTTTTACAAGGTAAGTATTTTAATTGAAAGATTTATAGATTGATGTGAATCACGCATGGTGAAGGAATCATGTCATGTATGGAAATTACTGGTTGTGATCTGCTTGCTATTGTATATTATATAATTCATTGTAATGTAATTAGGTATTGTAAATTAAGTTAGAAGTCGGTGAAATTGGTGAAATCCCAAAATCCATCATCTTCAAATTTAAGGATCACTAATTCCCATATGTGTAAATTTAAAAATCACCAATTTTCATATGTGCAAATTTAAAGGTTCCCAATTCCTACATATGTAAATTTAAGAATCCCCAATTCCCACATTTAGAAATTTAAAAATCTCCAATTCCTACATATGTAAATTCAAAAATCCCCAATTTCCACATATGTAAATTTAACAATCCCTAATTTCCACATATGTAAATTTAACAATCCCTAATTTCCACATATGTAAATTTAAAAATCACCAATTTCCATATATGTAAATTTAAAAATCCCCAATTTCCACATATGTAAATTTACAAATCCCCAATTGCCACATATGTAAATTTAAAAATCCCCAATTTTCACACATGTAAATTTAGAAATCCCCAATTCCCACATATGTAAATTTAAAAATTCCCAATTTCCACATATGTAAATTTAACAATCCCTAATTTCCACATATGTAAATTTAAAAATTCCCAATTTCCACATATGTAAATTTAACAATCCCTAATTTCCACATATGTAAATTTAAAAATTCCCAATTTCCACATATGTAAATTTAACAATCCCTAATTTCCACATATGTAAATTTAAAAATTCCCAATTTCCACATATGTAAATTTAACAATCCCTAATTTCCACATATGTAAATTTAAAAATTCCCAATTTCCACATATGTAAATTTAACAATCCCTAATTTCCACATATGTAAATTTAAAAATTCCCAATTTCCACATATGTAAATTTAACAATCCCTAATTTCCACATATGTAAATTTAAAAATTCCCAATTTCCACATATGTAAATTTAACAATCCCTAATTTCCACATATGTAAATTTAAAAATTCCCAATTTCCACATATGTAAATTTAACAATCCCTAATTTCCACATATGTAAATTTAAAAATTCCCAATTTCCACATATGTAAATTTAACAATCCCTAATTTCCACATATGTAAATTTAAAAATTCCCAATTTCCACATATGTAAATTTAACAATCCCTAATTTCCACATATGTAAATTTAAAAATTCCCAATTTCCACATATGTAAATTTAACAATCCCTAATTTCCACATATGTAAATTTAAAAATTCCCAATTTCCACATATGTAAATTTAACAATCCCTAATTTCCACATATGTAAATTTAAAAATTCCCAATTTCCACATATGTAAATTTAACAATCCCTAATTTCCACATATGTAAATTTAAAAATTCCCAATTTCCACATATGTAAATTTAACAATCCCTAATTTCCACATATGTAAATT